AAAAACGCCAGCACATCAACATTAGACCAAGATGTTGTCATTATTGTTTTTAAAATCTTTAAAATAAGTCCAGCCGCTGCTCCAGTCCGAGAAATTGCAAATGGCGGATCATTGTTTTGAAAAGTTTCTGAAGGATCCAGTGACTCCGCCCCTGACTCCGCCCCCAACCAATCAGTGACCGACAGTGTTCTGACATCACGTTTTAGTACCTCTTCGTTCAGGTTAGAACCACAGAGCCAAGGGTACTGAAAATATTAACAGGTGCTAAGTACCGGTACTAATGGAAAAGCCTCAGAACCGGGCCAAGTAGGGTCCAGTCAGCCCGTACTGGTACTAATGGAAAAGGGGCATTAGTAGGCTAAGCAAGCAGCAAGCAGGACCAAAAACCTTGTAGTGATACCTTAGGTAGGGAGCGAGCTCATGTCCAGTCGGACAGATAAGTCGCATACAGGGGACCTACAATTAAGTTAAAGCGAGGTGAAGAAGGGAACTACAACAGAACAGAAGAAAGCAAAAACGAAAAAAATTATTGTCTCTGAGCATTTTCTGTGAATGTCAAGAGCTGAATGTCTTGGTAGAAATTTGTTGTTGAAGCTAAAATGAAGTTAACATTAAAACAATCAGAGTAGAGGCTAAAATTAGCAGAACACAGTACCAGTTGAAGGTCCTGGAATGGTCCAGTCAAAGTCCAGATCACAGTCCAACTGAAACCCTGGTTTGTTTTAAAAATTGTTGGACACGAGCAGCACTAACCTGAATGAGCTGCAGCAGTTTGGTGATAACATGGGTTTAGATGGACCAAGTCCATGGACACGTGACACAAGTGAGTGAAGTGACTGATGTTAAAGCAGGTTCTTCTGTGAAAGTGGGGTCTGTTTGAGACTTTAATCTGGTAGTCCATTACTGCCTTAGAGAAAACTAGGAAAATATAATTATTATGGTTCTTATTCTGAGAGAGATATATAAATAGCATAACTGTCCAGCAATGTACAAACTTTTCTCATCGGCGTCTAAAAAAATCCCAGCTGTCAGTATTTAAGTCCTTTAACTCTGAAGTTAAAAAAAAAAACTCAACTTGGAGACTTGCTGCTGCAAAAGGTGGGAAAACAAAGAGATGAATTTGATGACTGTAGTGTGTGTGTGTGTGTGTGTGTGTGGGGGGGTGAATAATTATGCATTATTGATGATCATTACCAGTTCTCTACTAATAAACATGTAATTTTCTGCCTTAGACAGAGAGGAGACTTCTTGAATGTCTCACTAAAGTTTTAGACACTAACAAATCAATTCAACTGTGTTGATGTGGACAGGATGCTGCTGTTACTCCTTTGTTTTGTTTAGTTTACATGCCAATCCGCTAGGGGGCACTGTCATGCCAATAGCGCATGTTTAGGTGTGTTACACTCTTCTTCTGCGGTGTCTGAGATAGAGATGTTCGATACCATGATTTTCTGGTTCAATACGATACCGGGTAAAATTAATTCAAGTATCGATTTGACATATTTTTCCTTAAAAATGTTACATTTACTCAGATTAAACTTTTGATCTGTCATCTATGTTATATTACGAATAAAATATTGACATTTGCCATCTACACATCATTGCATTCAGTATTTATTCACAATTTGTTTAGTGTCCCAACTTTTTTGGAATCAGGTTTGTAATTCAAATTATGTGATTAAAATGATGCTAAACATATTAGCATGTTATTAAAGTTGAAAATGAAGACATCAGGTTTAATTTTAATTGTATTTATTTATTCAACACCACAAGCTGTATGTCACACAAACACTGATAATTAAACTGAACACACTATTAAAAACGTTAACTGTAAACTACGTTAATGAACTGGACTCTCCTCTGTTTTCATCCTGGATGTCCCACTTGTTCATCTGACTCGTTCAGGAAGTCACTCCTTTGAGTAATGCAACTTAAAACATTCAAAGGATTGAATAAAAGAACTGAGGGGAATTTTAAATAAATAGTTCATCCAACATCTCTGTCTTCGACGTCCTTCTGCAGTTCATCTGGGCCGAGCCTCGTTCAGAACCGGTCCGCCTGGTGGAAGGACAGCTCCTTCTTCTTTCAGGAAAAATAAAAACTCAGTTGGTTGTTTTGTAACCGAAGTAAACACAAGCAAACATTATTAAGAACATTTGATTTACCTGCAGTAAATCAGATACAGATTATCACAGAGTAAAGTCCCGACATCGTCGACTCGGTTCTGGTCCACTCAGCGACCGGTGTGGAGCTGTTAGACGAAGCGGTCCCGCTTGGCGTCAAATCTGCCGACTCTTATCCACAATCCAGCTTTAACTCGTTGTTACGTTGTTGTTAGCTGATTAGCCCAGAGGAAAACAGCGTGCCGAGGCAGCACGCATGCGCATTAGGTGAAGGTACAAAATTCACAGCGCCATCTAATGACCTGGCATGGTAACTACAGCGGATTCGGGAGGGCGAGGGGTTATCCTACGGATGCATGTAAACCCAAAATCCGACCATGTCAACGCAAATCTTTTCCTCTAATTAACATACGAAAAAACCTATGTTTCCCCCCATCGTGTCCGTGTAAATAGGGCCTAAATCTGTCTTCTTACAAGGAATGGAACTGTCCAGAGACATTTTCATCAAACCTCCCCCAGAGGCCAATAGCACAGGCATGCTTTGGAAACTGAGAGAATGTGTGTATGGATTAGCTGATGCCTCACTGTATTGGTATAACAGGGTAAAAACATCATGATTGAAGCAGGCGGCATCATGTCTAAGGTCGACCCTGCAGTTTTCTACTGGCTGGATGAGGGCAAGAATGTAACTGGTGTACTTGCTTGTCATGTTGATGATTTTATATGGGGTTGATCACACATGTTTTCAGAGTCAGTCATACCTCACCTCAGGTCAAAGTTTAATGTCGGTCGGGAAGCGCATAATAGTTTTTCCTATGTGGGTGTGGATCTTGTTGCTAAGGATAAGAAGGTACACATGCACCAAGACACATACATTCAGCACCTGCAGCCCCTACACCTCTCACCCTCACGAGCAGCAGAGTCAGCTTCGCCCCTCACTGAAAAGGAGAGAGAGCAGCTCAGATCGAAGATAGGCCAACTTCTGTGGGTTGCGAGACAGAGCAGGCCTGATGCCATGTTTGATGCTAGTAATTTAGCATCTAGTCTCAAACAGGCTACAGTACAGACCATCAATGAAGCAAACAGAGTTGTGTGTAAACTCAAGACCAAGTCAGTTGAACTGAGTTTTCAACACCTGGGAGAAAACAGTAACTTAAAGATGGTTACATTCACAGATGCATCTTTTGGGAATCTTTCAGATGGGGGCACTCAGGGTGGGCACCTCATTGTTTTAATGGGTGACAATGGGTGGTTCTCTCCCATTTCATGGCAGTCAAAGAGAATTAAGAGAGTTGTTAGAAGCACACTTGCAGGTGAAACACTAGCTATGTCTGAAGGAATTGATAATGCCATTTTTCTTTCCACACTGTTTTCTGAACTCAATGCTGGTAGTACTGCTTGTCCTCCACCCATAGTCTGCGTCACTGATCATTTCTCTCTTGTTGATGCACTTAAGTCAACTAAGTTTGTTGCAGAGAAAAGACTACGCTTGGAAATCAGTTCGATTAAAGAAATGATTCAAACTATGAAAGTTCATCAAGTGTTGTGGTCTCAAACAAAAGACCAACTCGCAGACTGTTTAACAAAAAGGGAGCATCTACAACCTCACTACTTAAGGCTCTTTATGAAGGACGTTGGATTGTTCAATAAATTAATTCACCAGTTGTTTCACACTCTTTCATGTTGAAACTGTTCTAACAAAATCCTTAATGGCTGTGCTTTACCATGAGTCTTATACAAGCATTGTTATTTTATTTTTTTAAGAAAAGTGGGAGATTGTTACTCCTTTGTTTTATTTAGTTTACACGCCAATCCGCTAGGGGGCACTGTCATGCCAATAGCACATGTTAAGGTGTTTTACACTCTTCTTCTGCGGTGTCAGAGTCTGGCAGAGATGAGCATGGTGGAATAACGTTCTATTGGATCCAAAAGGAGAAGTTATTTTTATTGACTAACAGCTGCTACATTTATGAAAGACAAGCACTGTCCCATTGTCCTGTGTTATACCTGTTGCTGAGGGATTTGAATAGTGAATGTTTGTAGTTTTCAAGATGAGTGTTTTTCTAGGCTGGAATTGAACAAGAAATGTAAATAAACTTTTCAAATGTGTAGGAGTTACACTGTGTAGAAGAACAAAGACAGTTTTTGTTGTTTTACTTTTTGCTTGTTTAAGGCAGCACAGAGTGATGGATCCTGACAAGTGAAGGGAGTGATTTTATCCACCACCAGATGCAGTGGAGGAGGCAGGGGGTGGCCAATAGTGTCTTTGGCCACCATAGATTAATATCTGGCCACCCGAGTCATTTGAGGAAACTATACTTTTAAGCAATATAAAAACCAGAAAGCATTGTTTTCTCAATTGATAGTGGTGGCAGGTTTACACACACACATGCATGTGTGCACACACACATTTACATATATACGGCAGTAGCCATCTTGGATGTTGACCTGGCAACCCAATTTTCGAAAGGAACCTTTCTTTTACCTAGATGTAGCCACACCAAAATGAAAGTTGGTGTGGTATTTTCCAAGTTATAAAGCTCACAACATGAACGGATGACCAGACACATTTCACAATTCCCCTTTCTCGCTCTACTATGGGGGACAATGAAAACAAAGCATAAAATTTTACTGTAAGCTATGGGATGATTCTGTAATGTGCATAGAAACTCTAGTCTGAGTTTAGTGCTTAAAGACAAAAACTGTCTCTTTGTAGAAGTTTGCACCACTCAGACCGTCAAAAGACATCAAGAGTTCAGAATCACCACAGGATCCAAGATCAGTCCCTGCTGGTTACATTCAGAGAGGAAATACCCCTCCTCTGGCACTGATTCAAGCCGTTTAAAACAGACACTGCACAAAAACGGATTTCTTTACCTTCTGATTAAAAGGCCACTTGAGGAGTGCGTCGCTGTGCCCTCTCATCACCACAAAAAACAGAGACAGGTGGGTGCCACGGCCCGTCCCATCACCGTTCAGGTAGATTCGCAAGCACATCTTATAGCCATATTTACTGGTATAAAATGCTGAAAACACAATATAATCTTAGACCATCATGATAAATACTTCAGTCAAGCAGACGTCGTCTAAAATGCTCACCAGGAGAAAACATGGCAGGAGCGCGGCCAGCCACAGCATCCTGCCTTTTCTTGGTGAAGTCAGAAATCTTCCAGATGAAGATGCCATCATAGGTGGCTGCAGACATCTCCCTCATTTTCCCCTCCATCTCCACAATGGACAGGTCTCTCAGACTCACTGTCCTTTCCAACTGACGGACCTTCAACAAAGCACCACAAGAACAAAGGCTTTTAGTAAGATAAAGGAAATTTATTAGAATTATGTAAACCAAAAAAGCAGCTCCAGCATGCTCTGGTGAAAACACAGTAAACACTGAGGAACTTTATCACCAAAATGAACAAAACATCATAACTGAATGATGTGTAAGAAACCCCTGCAAAGCTGTAGCTCAGAGTGTGCAGATGCAGTCATTCGTGGATTTTTACTTAGAAGCCATCTATTAATTGTTTGAGGAACCCTCAGCAGTTTTGCAGAAAATTTATGCAATTTTTTTCACCTTCTTTATTTGTGGCAAAATATAATTTTTTTACTCGAGGAGCTGCAAATCCTCTGTTCTTCTGTGCAATCATTATCCTTTAAACACCGTTGTATTGCACAGCTGATCCATCAGCATCACCACCATCATCTGTGCCCACTGTAAACTGGAAATTTTTTCCTAATGTGTGCACACTGAGCAACAAAACTGATGACCTTAAGTAACTGGTGGGGAAAAACAGATTTGTTAAACAGTATGTCACAATATACAGTATGTACGTCGACAACCTATTATACAGCAAAATAGCAATCTATATATATCTCCAAGCAATATACATTTTGAGCAACACTGTTTTCATAAATCGTCACTCTGGAATTGTAAGGATGGTACTTTTCTGTGGCCCGGTTTGTGTCTGTGCTCCCTCGTGCTCCCTCATTAGTTCCATTGTTACCACCCGTGTCTCATCCCAGCTGTCTGTAATCATGTCTCGTCTTGTCTCTGTATATAAGCCGTCTGTTCTGTCTTGTTCATCGTCGCGTCGTACTCGTTGGGTCTCCTGTGTTTTTCCCTGAGTCTTCCTAGTTCCTCGAGTCTCCCGTGTCTCCTGAGTCCTCCTGAGTTTCCCGTGCCTCCTTCCTATTTTCATGTAAGTTTTGCTGCCCCGTCAGCTTGTTATTTTGTATCCTTATTTATCATTAAATTCCTATTTTTGTAATTCTGCCGAGTTGAGTCCCTGTTCTGCACTCTGGGTTCGCTCCTGACCACAAATCCTAACATTACGACGCGACCAGACTAGAACCCAGTGGGCAGGGTTCTCTCTCGGCAACACTCAACTTTTTTCTTTTTTCTTCCTCGAGCCAAGATGGACGAGCTCCGCTCCGTCCCCGTCTTTCCGCCGTCCCACTGCCGCCGTAGTGGCAGAAGACAGTTCCGGAGGCAGTCTGCGGCGACCGGCCCGGTCTCGTCGGCCGAGCAGAACTTTAGAGCTGGTTCCGGTGTTTCTGTGGGAGCGGGGTCCGCCGCCTCACCTCCCAGGTTTCCGGTGGGGGCAAGATCCAGCGTCCCGCGGGAGCTCCGGTCCACTCCTGTTCGGTTCGGTGAGTCGGGTCCAGTTGACATCACAGGGGCGGGTTCCGTCGCCTCACCTTCCAGGTTCCTGGTGGGGGCGGAATCCGGCCTTTCACCGTCACTCTGCGCCGCGGCTGTTCGACCCAGCCTGGCCGTACCTCCAGAGCTTATTCCTAGTGACTCCATGGGGGCGTGTTCCGCCGCCTCACCTTCCAGGTTTCCGGTGGGGGCGGCACCCATCACCACACCCACACATAAAGACATTCCCTTTTTTCACTCCTTTTTACCTGAGGAGATTTTTCAAGTTAATCAGACCCTTTTTGAATTATTTAATTCTGCTAAAGCTAACCCATCTTCCTTTGATCACGTTTTGTCCCTGATAGAGGATTTTTTACTTTCTATCCCTGGTCTTTCTTTGCTACCCGAGTATGATTTTTTATTATCTAAGTTAGAGACTTTTAAGACCCCTGTTACTGTCATCCCTGAGGTGGATTCCACGCTGCACGCAGCCCCTGAGGTGGACTCCATGCTGCACGCAGCCCCTGAGGTGGACTCCACGCTGCACGCAGCCCCTGAGGTGGACTCCACGCTGCACGCAGCCCCTGAGGTGGATTCCACGCTGCACGCAGCCCCTGAGGTGGATTCCACGCTGCTCGCAGCCCCTGAGGTGGATCCTCACCTCTCCTGTTCCGAGGGGGTTCCGGCGAACGCTCCTCACCTCTCCTGTTCCGAGGGGGTTCCGGCAAACGCTCCTCACCTCTCCTGTTCCGAGGGGGTTCCGGCGAATGCTCCTCATCTCTCCTGTTCCGAGGGGGTTCCGGCGAACGCTCCTCATCTCTCCTGTTCCGAGGGGGTCCCGGTAGACGCTCCTCAGCTCTCCTGTTCCGTTCCAGTTTCCGTTCCTGCCGCAGAAGACTCCGTTCCTGCCGCAGAGGGTTCCGTTCCAGTTTCCGTTCCTGCCGCAGAAGACTCCATTCCTGCCGCAGAAGTTCCTGCTCCTGCAGAGCTCCAGGCCTCTCCGTCGTCTGCTGCAGAGCTCCAGGCCTCTCCGCCGTCTGTTGCAGAGCTCCAGGCCTCTCCGCCGTCTGCTACGGAGCTCCAGGCCTCTCCGCCATCTGTTGCGGAGCTCCAGGCCTCTCCGCCGTCTGCTGCAGAGCCACAGGCCTCTCCGTCGTCTGCTGCAGAGCCACAGGCCCCTCCGTCGTCTGCTGCAGAGCTCCAGGCCTCTCCGTCGTCTGCTGCAGAAACTCCCCAGGCCTCCACGACAGCAGCAGCAACTCCCCAGGCCTCCACGACAGCAGCAGCAACTCCCCAGGCCTCCACGACAGCAGCAGCAACTCCCCAGCCCTCCACGACAGCAGCAGCAACTCCCCAGGCCTCCACGACGGCAGCAGCATCTCCCCAGGCCTCCACGACGGCAGCAGCATCTCCCCAGGCCTC